ACACTCTACAAAACCCTTGTCCCTAGGTAGTCCGTCCCTCTTTCCCGTGTCTCTACCCAGTTGTACTTTAAGGATGGTTGCCAAGAACGCCATTCTTGCTCCCGTTTCCACCGCATCCGCTACTTCCCTCGTCTTCTCCGTTATATTGTTGAATCGTGCCAACAGGTTCGCCGCATATTGTCCGTTGGACTGATACGGCTGTTTCTTCTCTCGAAACATCTGTAAGATGTCTTCTTCTGGGGCCCAACGGCCCCCTCCAAATGCCTTCTTCAGCCTGTCCTTCACGGTGCTCCATGGGGTGTCTTCATCCGCCTGGATCATGTTCAGCACACTCCTTTTAACCCGGCATACCAAGGCTGCCCTCAATGCGTTGGCATCCAGCGGATCTATCAAGTTTTCCCCTTCTTTGGCCGCTATACGCGATATCACCCGGTCGCCTCCCTTTAGGAAAGTGGTTCAACTCACCTGTTCCTCCATCAAATCTTTCCAGGTCAGATATAGCTCTCCTCAGGTCCTGCGACGTCGCCGTTCTCACCTTCAGCCATTCCAGCGTCGTCGCATGTGCTGACGCTAACGTCTCCGTAGGTAGCGGAGGAAAGTCCCTCGCTAACGCTTCTGCCAACGTAGGAAATGCTGCCGGTGCCGCTGGTGCCGCAGTCGGTTGTGCTACCTGTGCTGTAGGCGGTACTGGTGGTGGTGGACGTACTGGCGGTTGCCCTACTCCGTTCGGCATCCTGTCTTTTATCTATCTCCACGACGTGAAAAAAAAAAATAAAAACGAAAAACAAGTACAAAATTAAATTTTTTAAACTTCCCGGGTTTCGGCACCACTTACGTCGGTTCGAACTGAGAAAGACAAAAAAAAAGAAAGAAGGCTTGAAATAAACACGTGGTTGCTCAAACTAAACTGACTTTATTCTCTCCGTAATGCTATATATATAGCATTACGGTTTGTTTACAATTATTGAATAGGATTAACTAATATATTACTTACATCTAACCATAACTTATATATATATATATATATATATATATATATATAATGTGGGACTGAGTAAATACACTTTGAATGAATTGAGTCATCTGGTTTGTTATTCTTCAATTGTGAGGCCTATGAGACAACTAAATAAATAAATGACTTTTCACTCATTTCTAACAAAACAATATATTTTACAGCTGTAATAAGTGAATCTATTAAAGTTTTATAACTTTAGGCTTGATTTCAGAATCTTCAGTGCAGTGCCTCTCTCTTCTTACAACCTCCTTTCTTCCTGTCCCGGCCTATTGTGAGTCCTCTTCTCTCCAGCTGTTGCTACTTGCTCCGTCCTATTCCAACCTTCTTCCTCCTTCGTCGATTGTTTATCGATATCAGACTTTTCAATGAATAATATGTCCACTGCACAATTGAGTGCAATTCATAGTGCAATATCATATTCCAATATATTCCTTCTCATTTACTCACACAATGCCACATAAAGGAGTAAATAATGGAGGTTATCTACTACATATCCCTACCGTTTAACTTTTAAATTTTGTGTTTGAGCGAGAACAACAAAATTTAAGAAAAATTACCGTGATGAAATGAACTTTTTGTGTGTAATGGAAATTACTCAATGTCGCATAAAGGAGTAAATATTGGAGGGTATCTACTACAAGTCGAACGATTCCTTCTAAATCTGTATTGGTAGTCACCGATAATTTCCTCGGCGTATTCTGTGATTCGACTTTTTAAGTATTAAAGTGAATATTTTGTAACATACAGGAAGGAGTGAAATTCCTCTATAGTTATTAAAATAGCTTTTTCTGAATCGGAATAAGAATAGATTCTTTTCATTCTTCAGGTAGTTTCTCTTACACCCAGACCTTTTTAACCAACAGATGTATTTTAGAAACTCCAGCTTCCCCGCCTGCCTTAATTAGTTCGCAAGCAATATATATATTTTAAACTTCTAGTTTAGATTTAAAATAAACTTAGAATATTGATTTTAAACTTCTATATGCTAAAAATGTTTAAAACATAAAGTGGTTGATGCATTAAAATAATATTTAAACAGACGTTAATTTCTAATGATTTATATGCATAACGTAAATGAACATTTTAGTTGTTTGGCAATAATAACTTCCATTTGTTAACAATTGAGTATATTTTACTATCAACGTTACATGTTAACAAGTTTGTTGACGTTTCGGGACCTTTATTCCCATCTTCAGAACTGCAATTCCAATATTGTTGTGGATGCAAAGCTAAACATTTTTTAACTTACAATATTGTGCTTGTTACATTACATATTTGAATTATGTTTGTTACAATAACTTTGTAATTACCTTAATTTTAATAATAATAATATAATGTGCTCCATCGACAATTTTCTAATTTATGTTCTAAAATTTATCATCTAGAGCAACATCCTCCTTTGGACCAATAATTGTGTTTCTGCCATAGTGAAAAATTGACCTTTGGATCTGACTGTTTTATCTGACTATTTTGATTGTTGTTGTTAGTGTTTATTTTATGTGCCTGTGATTACTCTATCTGTGAAGTACTCTATCAACGAATTTAAGTGGCATATTTTTAAACAAACTGATCACAACACAACTAACTAACTTAGAACAAAAACCACTATTAATTAAAAAATACATAGATGACTTATTACTCATAATAAAAAAAGATTCGGAAAATGAAATAATGAAAAGCTTCAACCAGTACAACAAAAGAATCAAATTTACAATAGAAAAAGCCACAAAAAACAGACTCAGATTTTTGGATATGGAAATAATTATGGACAAAGGATAGATACTTACTAAATGGACAAAAAAAGAGAATACCAGTAACAGAATTCTTAACTTTAGCTCAAACCATTCCAAACATCAAATAATTAATACAGCCAAGAACCTAATTCACAAATCAATAGAACTCACTGACAAACCTTACATCCCACAAATAAAAACAGAAATATACAAAATACTTATCGAGAACTTTTACCCTATAAATTTAATCAACAAACTTTGGTACAGTCGATTACATACAACAATAAACCATAACAAAATTAGAGCCAAAAAACAAACAATACAAAAAACACCAGAAGAAAACATTACAATAAGGAAACCTACACAACAATTCATCACCCAATTTTTTGAAAAAAACAAATCCAACAAAAGAAAACAATCAGGATAACATATCACAAACAAACAAAATGGACTTCAACTACTACTACAAAATAACATACATACCTGAACTCACTAACAAAATTAAATACGTTTCACGGGCTTTCTAATATTTCTGAGTCATTACCTTAAAATATAACTTACGAAAGAGTTCATCAATCTATACAAGTATTATTTACGTTATATTATAGATAATAAACTGATCAATGGGCACTTAATGTGCGTCATTATATTCTTGGGCTCCAATATTTTAGTAATAAGTACAAGAGCTAATGATTCGGATAAGGGCATGCCAAAAATATTAAAAATGTTTTGTAAAAACGTGAATTTTCGCAAGTTTCCGTAAACTTTAAAACGTGTGCAATCCAAAGTTATGAATAAATTTGATTTATTTTTTCTCCATTTTTATTATTTTCTGAATCATATATTTTTCACAGCATAAGATTTACAAATTTAAAAAATAATTTGATTATCAATCCACCCCCGAAAATAATTGAATGTTTGTTATTTGACTCTATTGAAATAGTTGATTAACAGGTGCTGGATAAATAGTGTGTCTTGCAATGATATAAATGCAATGAGAAGCACTAGCTTCAGACACCATCCTCCCAATCAAAGGTGAGTTTCAATTACTGTCATTTAGTCTCCGATGGTAATACATTAATTTTTGATCCTGTAAAAAACTATAATTCGGTTGATTTTTATATATACTACAAAAAAAACAAAAAAAAAAAACAAGCTTTCACACTAACAAATGTCCAAAAAAGTTGTATTCATGCAGGAAGTCAACTAAATAAAATTTCTTTAAATGAAAGTAAAGTTTGTCTTTGTTAAGACCATTTAAAGAAGATTTTTGAGCGGCTGAACTAATTTAAGTTCCGTTTAAAAATAAAGTTCATAATCTATTTGCGATTTTTTTTATCTCCCACAAATTATACTACAGATACCACACTTTTTGAAACACTTTCTTGTTTAATAAGCTTTAAGTCCATATTAAGTTGAAGTTTATTAGAAACAAATTTGAGATTCACCTCAATTTATGTAAAGAAATTATGTGTTTTATACCCTGTCACCTAAAACTAAAAATAACCAAGTTGTCAGCAAAAATAACTACTATAAATTTTTGAAAATCATTAATTTATTTACATTTCTTTATAAATAAAAAGCGTATTTATGCATTTATATTTATCGAAGTACATTCTGGTCATGTAAAAAAAAAAGTTTTTCAATAATTTATTGTAGTTATTTTTGCTAAAAACATGGTTACTTTTAGGTAAAAGGATGTAAAATCACAATTTTTTTTTACATGACTTGAGGTGAATATCATAATTTTTCTTAATGAACTTTAACTTAATTAATATTTTAATTTTAAAGCTTATTAAACAAACAATTTTTTGTAAAAGTGGGGTATCTGTAATATAGTTTGACGGTGATGATAAAAAATCGCAAATAATTTATGTTTTTTTTTTAACAGAACTTAGCTGAGCTCAGCTGCTCAAAAGTCCTCTTTAAATGAACTCAACAATGACAAACTCTACTCTCATTTGAAGTCAATTTTAACTAGTTTATTGTGAAGCGATTGTAATTACTTAAATTAAATATTTTTGTAGCTATAGCTTTCGATTCAACAAAAAATGGGATTCACTTAAAAAATCACAAATAATGAATTTCCTAATTTTCTGCTGGGAATTGAAAGAAAATTTCTGCTGGGAATTTATAATTATATTGTTTATAGTAAAAAAGTTTACCAGTTTCTTAAGGAACGTGGCGTCACTTTTGACGCCTAGACCCTGAGTACAGAGAAGGAAATAGATAACGAACTTTGTTCCAAATAGATGTTGCGGTGGACTTGTGTACTGATTGTTTGCTTGTGGTTGGGAGTAGCCCATGCTGCAAATTCTCATGAGACTGGCATAGGTTCTAAACCGGGCTTGAAGGCCACATCATGTCCTTGTGGCATGTCCAAGGTAAACAATATTTAATATTATATCAAAAAGCTGCTTAGAAAAACATATCCAACAGTTGGTAAATATTTAAGTTAATGTTAATGTTCAATGTTTACTAATATTAGATTTTATTTTAGAAAGGAAGAATCGTTGGAGGTACCAAGGCTCTACCAAATGAGTACCCATGGATGGTAATGTTAGTTGAAGGAGATAGTAGAGATGTAATGTGTGGTGCTTCCATCATTAACACTAATGTTGCCATAACAGCTGCTCACTGCACCCATTATTTGTCTAGATATACAAAACTCAATGTCATCGCTGGAACATCAGATGTAAATAAGCGTAAGACTAATATATATTAATTATTACTATATACATAAATTGTTGTTTGAATGATATAAATGGAATTAAGAAATCCGTTATAATTGTTCTAGTGAATTAATATTTTCAAGAAAATAAGACTATTTTGGAATAATGGTACTGTAAAATACTTAATAAGTTCCAATTTTTGTATGACAAAACATCATTCACGAACTAGTATTGAATTTGTAGAACTAAAATATTCCTTGTTTGATTTACAGCCGGTCAGGTTGTGCCCGTGAGCAGATGGATAGAACACGAGAAATATAACAGTCCTCAATACGATGCAGCAAGGACTATAAATGACATCTCTCTTCTTCTATTGGAAAAACCTCTTGAATTCAATCCCAACGTAGGACCAGTCTGCATGCCAAATGGAAAATACGACATTGAGAACCAATGGGTCAAACTCATCGGTTAGTTTTAAAGCACATATTACACAGTTTTTAGAAAACTAAACCACATAAAAAAAAACCACAACATACAGGAGTAGTAGGAGTACCCAGCAACCCCTCCTCCATTCCAAAGTACAATGTTGCTCTGTTCTTCCTGAAGTGGTTCTACTGAAAGTAGAAATATCGAAATTGTAGTTTAGTTTTTTTTTTACCTTGGTCCTTGGTTGTCATGTATTCTGTTTTCCTCTTATTGATCTGGAGTCCTCTTTTATTGGCCTTATTTTCCATCTCTTCCAACACCCCACTTAGCATAAGTAGCGCCCTTGCTACCAGGATAACGTTGTCTGTATAGGATATTATCTATCTATATTTATTGTAAATTGTACCACCACGAAAACTTGAAAAGAGTTTCAGCCTCGGGATCTCCTTGTCGAAGTCCTTAATTCAATCTTCTCCAATCTTCTTGGAGACTCCATATCTGCGTAAATCTCGCAGTAGATGTGCCCAATCAACATAACTGTAGGCTTGCCGTAAATCTTGAAGAGGTGGTGCAGCATAATGTCAAATTCATGCATCTGTACCAACAACTGCCTTCGATCTCGTTCAATGACGACAAAACTTTGTAGGCAACGCTAAGGAGGGCTAAACCTATGTTATTATCATTTTTCAGTCAGTCACCTTTATTGTAGATGGGGCATAAAAGAGCTGTAGACCATTCAGATGGCTTCCTCTCACTCATACACACATCGCAAATTATTTTATACAGTTAACTGAGTACTGCGTATCCGCCATACTTCAATAGAGCCATTAGCGCACAGTAAGCCGCTGGAGCTTTGTAACTTTTTCATATTGAGGAGTACACCCATAATTTCTTTCTTCTCAGGAGATGATTCTATGTCGCCTCTATCGCCGTTTTCTAGATACAGATCCAAATCAAGGTTCTGTGGTTTTTCACACAGTATTTGTTACATATTTTACAGTATGGTTCGGTTGTATTTTAGTGGTAAAATTGATATTTAAAGGGTAGGCTGACAAATTTTCCGTGGGACTCCTATTTTTTCTCCATAGCACTGCATAAGCTTAACGTGCTCCTTCAAACATTCAGTCTAGCTACTACAACCTCAAACCTCAGTTAATTGAATCCGTCGATGGAACCAACAAAACAAAGTTGATATATATTTTTTTTTTGTACACTAATATTTAAATTCTAACTTTATATAAATAGGATGGGGTCAGCTCGGAGGATACCTGCCCCCTACCAGAGATCTGATGGAAACTGACGTTAAAGTTTTACCATTCAAGACTTGCCAGTCGAAGTTCCCTTTGAAAACTCCTCAAACACAGATCTGTACCCAGGCCCCAGGCAAGGGAGGCTGTATGGTGAGTTGAAATTTTAAAGTTAACTTGATTCAATCAGGTAGATGAAAATTTAATTGGAAAGAATCATTTTTCTTTTTACTTTACTTTTACCCTTAAGTTATTTCATCGCTCCCGCCACCTACTCCCACAATCTATCCGCAATCTCTTTCTATCCTCTCTTATTTTCTTGACTACGGCTGTGTGGTCTACGGAGGCATCCCGATGGTATTCGAGGATAGATTGAGGCAACGCATGAATTTCTGCCTAAGATTTGTCTTCGTTATTTCGAGGCGGTCTCATGTGTCCCACCTTTACGATGATTTAAAGTGGCTCTTCCATTCTTTTCGCAGACAATATTTCTTTGGATCTTTCCTATTCCAAACGATCAACACCCGACACCCTTCCTAAATCTACAGTCTCCAACAGTTCAAACCCGTGGTCCTCCCCCAGAAAACAAGATCCCATGTTTCCGACCTTTATAATCCTTCCCATCGAAATTCGACATTTGAATATTCCTTTATTGCTCAATGGACTGCCTTCTGGAATTCCTTGCCATCTGATATCCGCCATGCTTCTTCCTTGTCCTCATTCAAATACCATCTCTACCGATTCCTTCTCAGATCCCAAAATGACGTTGTACAATGAAATAAATATCATGAATCAAATTTTGACTGAGGTGAATGGTTGTTGAAATTGTTTTGAGTTTTAATTTTAAAAATCAACCCATTGTTCTTATATTTTACCAGATTTTCGTTTTTCTTTTAATTTAAATAATGTTCTTTTTTTCAAAATACTGTTACTTTTTTATTTGTTATAATATACTTTCACTGAAGATACTGTATAAATTCTTTAATTTTGATTAATGTAATTTTTGGCCAGATGTGGTTTTTATTTTTTGTTCATAATTGTTATTCATAAGGGGCCTCGTCCCAGAATAAAGTTCATTTTCTATTCTATTCTACATATTGGGGACCTAATTAATATCATTTCTATTCATCTAAACAAAGAAATAGTTTACCTAACTTTTTCTTTGGGTTACACAGGGTAAGTTTTGTGATAAAGAGCATAAATGAGATTACAAATCTGTTTTGGAATGATGAAAAAAATTCATATTTAACCAATAACCTCAAATAAGTGTCGGGTAATAATTCTGTATTTAGCAATTCTATCCTGGTGTGCTAATTCTATGTTTATACGATTAGTTTATCTAATATATTTATACAATACATACAAAAAATAAATAAATAAATAAGTAAATAAATAAAAAAATATTTTTTATTTTTTTATTTATTTACTTATTTATTTTTTTTTTTGTATGTATTGTATATATGGTATGAATGTGCCTCTCTCAGCCTTAATACTCAGTGCCCTTAAGTGTGGCAAAATGTATTATTACTCAATAAACAGATAGATAAAAAAAAAAAAAAAATTATAAAATCCAATAAAACACATTTTATGCTAAATATTTGTACGCATAGGAAACAAACTTCTCTAAAAGGTAATTCTTGGACGTAAGTTTTATAGCTGGAATCTAAAAGGTAATTCTTGGACGTACGTTTTAAAGCTGAAATCTTTAAACAATATACAGCTAAAGGGAGCGAGGCGCTGTGAAGTAGGAGATTCAAACTCAACCTCTCCACATTTCCTAATTCACTTTTGTTTTTTTATGTAAATTTTCTTTACAAATATGCATCTAAACAATTCTATGCTTCTTTTTTTCTTCTTTTTATATCTTAATTTCAAGTGTACTATAAAAATTGAAAATGCACCCAGGTATCCTGTTACATGGGCCACTTTTCTCATAAAATGTTGATAAGGCAGAAGTAGTAATTGTGAAAACTAATATTCATTCTTATAAATATAACGATACAAATTTATTTTAGGGTGACTCAGGTGGTCCAGTGACTTATTTGGACCCTAAAACCAACAGGTACACCTTGGTAGGCCTCGTATCTTTCGGCAGTGGAAACTGTGACCCAATTGTCCCAACTGTCATGACAGAAGTATCAGCATTCCTACCTTGGATTAAATCCAAAATCAATAGTGAGTATAAGCTTAATGTCGATTAAATATAATTGAAGCATTAAGGCTTAACAAGTAAATTGCTTTAGTCATTTGAAAGTAATGACATAGATACTCTATCTTTATTGTATCATACGCAAGAGTTTCAAAAATGCTACATGGGACATAGATACTCTATCTTTATTGTATCATACGCAAGAGTTTCAAAAATGCTACACGAAATAAATCTTCACACAATACAGTACCTTGTTTATTTAACTAGTAAATCATATCTTTACAAAACGTTAGCTTCTGATAACCATGTAATAATATTCTGATATGAAATATTCGATATTACAATATATGTTTCAGCTCTTGGATGTCAAAAGGTTAAAGGCAAGAAACGGAAGAACTTAGTTTTAGGAGGCTAAAACAAACTTTTACTTATTTTTTTAAGGTTTGAATATTTTTGATACAAATAAAGAAACGTTTTGGAATTTAATCAATTGTTTTTATCAAACCAAGCAAACACTATTGTGTGTTCTATACATAAAATTTAGAATGTGATTCTAACATATAAATTTTTTTAAGTTCATCTTATATATTTTATCCTATTTTATGTATATAAAAAAAAAAACCTGTACCACTACAATCCAGGAAGAGTCTTGGGTGCAGGGAGGAGATGGGACCGACATCATGCTCAACCAGGGTCGATCCACGGTCACTGAAAAATCACTAGTCATTAACCGGATTTGAACACAGGATCTTGAGCTCTGGAAGTCAGTGCTCACCCGCTACCCCTATATTATATAATAAATTAAAAAATAACTAATGTTCAATTCAATTTAATATTAAGTAGTTTTTAATTTTAACCGTAATGAAAAGCACATGATTATTCTCATAGTATTTTATCAAATCTATTATTTTTGTTGAGATTAGGTATCTTGATTTTGAAAAGGCTGGTTTACTTGAATACTGGTATTGACAAAATGTAGAATGCCATATGTTGTATCTCTAATAGCAAGGATGGACGTTTAATATAAAGTAAATTCATGGGAACAGAATTATTATTTCTCAAAGATGTTTTTTTGTCTGTACGCCTAAATTACGGTGAATTCTTCACCAAATCCAATGATTGCGTCCTCAATTTGAAGATCATTTTCTTCAGATGGGAAAAATAGTAACCCCTCTCCCACCTCTCCCGAAATTTTAGTGAAATAGTTATGGAGGGAAAGAAACTTTATTTATGAATAACTCAAAAAGTATACATTTTTATGTTGATTTTAACTTTAAATTTTACTTGAAAACTTATTAAATTTCCCTATAAAACAAAAAACAACAACATCGAAACCTATAATAAATTAGAAAATTTGATACAATAGTACCGCCCAATGGAGTTCAAAAAATTTTTAAAGGAGAAACAGAGTTGTGATATGAATTTCGCGATCCCCCAACAAAAACAGAGAGAGGTATATCGTTTCGCCCCCCTCCACAATATTTCAAAGAAAAAAAAATCAAAATCAATATTTGCATGAATGAACAAAATATGAAACTAAAATCAATTAAGGAAATAGGAAAATTCAACTAGACGGATAAGCTATGGCGTAGGTACGCAATTATTTTGCCACGCATAATGTTCCTATTATTGAAATTTTAGTTTTCAGTCAAAGATAGACAGAAAGTTAGAATATGTAGTAACATATCCTAGGATTTTAAGGTTCATTCATAGGCACTCTTACATATTTATGTGAAGAATTTATCACATTTTCAGCGCCATCGGAATTGAGAATTCATCTCTCACTGCCTCATACATTGAAGTAAACATAAAAATTTGTAATATATTCAATTATTTTGTTAACACGTTTTTAAATATGTCCGTGCGTAAAAAAAAAAGAAATAGAAAAACAAAATTTATATAATATATCGCTAATGTTAGTTTTAGAAGTCACATATAAAAATTAAGCTTTTTTTACAAGAAAGCATAATAACAGATTATTTCTTTATGATTTATCAGCATAATTTCATATTCTATTTACCTCTGCTATTTTCCTTTTACCTCTGCTTAGTGCCAAACTACTTCAGGAGTTCCGGACTGCAAAATGTCACCTATAGCCACGGGCGGATCTACGGGGGGGTCTTTCGGGCTGAAGCCCCCCCCCCCCAAAATGGTAAAATATAACAATGTTTAATGGAAAAATAGATTTAAAAACTATATCTTAAAGTATTATTGTTCGTGTAATTACATTTAAAAGTACTTAAGGAATCACTTAAACACCATTCCATATAGACGGTTATTTTCTTCCTTTTTTTCCAAAGTAATTATCGTCATTTTTATGAAAAAAAAAGCTTTCGGGCTGAAGCCCCCCCAAAATTAAATCCTGGATCCACTAGTGCCTATAGCACGAATAGTAACAGTAGCTATATACTTATCTATTTTTATTTACTTTGCTTACCTATATAGTAATATATAGTAAGAGAAAGTATTGCGATCGTGGCAATGTTCGAATCCCAGTTTTCAACGGAAATACTCGTATTTCGATTCCCTGAGTCCAAATAACCAATTCCGACAAAATGTTGTGTGTTGCTCAAAAATTAAAAGACCTATGAAACTGAGTTAAGATTTAAGTTAAGTATAAGTCTGGGATATTACAGTAACTTTTTCCTTAAAATTTGCTAACGGGATATTGTCACTTTTCATCATAGATTTTACACATTTTTAAAATTTTATCAAAAACGGCTCAAAAAAGGATTTCGATTATACTCGGTGTATCAATGTATAATTAAGTAGTCTTTAATATCATTTAGGTCTTATCCTCATTTATGTAGCTTAACTTAAATGCCCAATGTTCAAATTTCTCCCTCTAAAATAGCTTTAATTTGGTTTATTTTAAATAACAAACTATCTCTCATTGTTAACAGCACTAGCGGATCCAGGATTTAATTTTGGGGGAGGGGGCTTCAGCCTGAAAGTTAATAACGATAATTACTTTGGAAAAAAGAAAGAAGCTAACTACCTGTATGAAATGGTGTTAAATGATTCCTAAAGCCCTTTTAAATGTAATTACACGAACAATAATACTTTAAGAGATACTTTTTAAATATTTTTTTCGATAAAACATGGTTATATTTTAGCATTTTGGAGGGAGGGGGGGAGGGGCTTCAGCCCGAAAGCTCCTCCCCCCGTGGTTAGCAATTACAAAAAAAGGCTAAATATATCTTTTAAAAGAATTTTGTTATTGAATAAAGGAGAAAAATATTTATTTAGATCGAAAATGATTCTCCGGAAATATAGTCAGAAGGTATACATATAATATATCGTTGGAAAGCTGAGAATTGTAGAAAAAAAAACAATATATACTATAGAAAGTCGTATATGTTAATGGAGTGTAACGATTATTACAATAATTACAAACAGTAATTTCTGTGTGTAATTATTGTAATGTTGTAAATAATAATTTAACACATAATAATTTGGGAGGAGGGGGGTGAGGCAAGGTAGTCGTGCGGACTAACGGGTATTCACAACATCGTGCGTTGCCCAGCAACCTGATAATCGAAGTTTAGGATAGAAAAACAATTATAAATTCAAATACCGATGACTGGTGGGACTTTTAACTCAGTGTAATTCTCCCTGGAAGGCAGGTAGTTGGTGAAATCTAATGTACAAGGAACAATCACATTAAAAATGTTTCTCAATTCAAAAGTTGGTGTTATAGGGAGAGTAAATTTGAATGATATGTAAGAATTATTTACATTAAATCATAACTGAAAGGGAAATAGTAAATTCAAGGAAATAACCATGCAGAATACTTATTGTATCCCATGAATGTCTTTTTTTTTGTACTAACCATAATAATTTACTGCAGGAAAAGGGTTTAATTTTTCGAGTTATTTCCACATTCTTTTTAACGTTATTAATTAATATGTAATTCAGGTCTGTTGCGGAATCTTTAATTTTAGTCTTATATTGTCACATGAGTAGTTGTAAATATGTTCAAAGACCATTCAACTGCTTCTCCACTTTTGGCAAAATATTTTTCTAAGAAAATTATGACCATTTTAATATTAAGTTACATTAAAAAAAAGATATGAAACTTTATAAAAATATCATTTTACAGTTTTACGTTTTCACTGTGTGTAAATTGAGTTTCATTGGTTCAATCCATAGTTTTTTATCTGTCTAAAAATCTTGAAGTGCTTATTCAAGTATTATCACTTATATAAGAAATTGAACCTGAAATAGGGCGCAGATAAGTAACAACTATTTAGTGGGAATTTACTTATCAGAAAAATTAAATTTTGACAGCTTGGTGAGAGCGACAGCAGAAATCTTTAACAGAAATTTAAAATCACTGAGTGAGAGCTTTCTTACCTGAGATAAATTTAACCTAAAATAAGATGTATTTGCTAGAAACAAACCTCGTTTATAAGTACTGGTTCAGCTGATTTTTATATAGAATGTGTCAAGGTATAAAAATGACTAAGGCAAAAAAAAAGGTTAAGGAAAGGCATAAAAAATAATTGAAAAGCACAATAAATTCATTCTTATTACTCAATTAGTTGATTTTTAGTAAATGTTAAATTTTCATTTAAGAATTACTGGCTATAGCAGATCGAATTAACGAACTATTAACATTCACATTACTTATCAAAGGACGTCTAACGTTCATACATATTTGGTAAAATGAAGAAGTATTAGCTTTGTTCATGGATACATTACCAAACAAAATATCAATAGAGTCAAAAAAGAAATAAATTAGTATAAATGATTACTTTTATATTTGAGAGAGCCAGAACACCAACCAGATCTCTTCAAATTAATGTTATAAAGGAAATGGGAAACCAATAGATCATTATTCATGAATGATCATCACGATTCAAAATATATATTTTGTAAATCTTCTTCGGATGATTCTGTTGAAAATTTGTGAGCTAATCGCCTTTTTCTTAAACAAAATTGTTTATCACTTCAGATATTGGCTATGAAGAGGTAAAGTTAAGTTTAAAACATATCTAGTCTAAAACATGTAATCATTCATCATAATAATACTTACGTTCGAGACATAGTCAGTAACTGATAACAATTTGAATACTATAATACAATTTTAACTGAGTAAAAATATTTTCAAGGAATAGAAATATAATTCATTGCCCTAGCAATGTAAATATTGATTGAACTGTTAAAACAGAAATAAATAAATAAAAAAAAAATAAAATAAAATAAAAAGATTTCCAACAACAACTGTATATTTATAACAAGATTTATAACAACTATAAAAATCCTGTGGGACCACCTATGATATATTGGAATAAAGGGGAACTTGTTAATAAATAAATAAAACACTAAATCAAAAGATTTTTATTTTTGTTTCTAATACAAACAATTTTTTTCATTAGCTATCTTAAAAGAAGAATATGTAGGTAAATATGA